TGTATATCCTCTTTTGATATCTCTTCTCCACCTTTGCATGATGTAACACTCTGGTAGGGCATGAACTCCGTTACGCACAAGGACTGTGATGATGTGATTACAAACAATCCCTCTAAACTCAAATAAGTGGCACGTGCACATGGCTTTAGAATTAGGGATAGAATTATCGTACTCAACCACAACATGGACTGTTTTGAAAAAAACCCCATTCTCCATTTTGTCTTCACGGATATTGTAATGTATACCATCCTCACACCCTAACAGGTCACAATGCAACTTCCCGGCCATTTGAGCTCGAAACTCCTTGAACTTTGCAAGTGTGTACATTTGTTGCAACTCATGTTCCATGGCATATATACTCACACAAGGCAACATTTTGGTGAGACACTTAGCATCCTCTTGGAACTCTTTCTCTACTTTGCATTTCAACGCACGTCCGTATTGATCAACAAATTCCTTTAGACTTGTTTTAGAATGAACAAAGTCGTCAAAAAAGGCGTTAATGCTCTCACTCCGTTGGGTCGTTGACATCCCTGCCCAAAAAGTTGGCCTCAAGTAGCATGGCACCCACCGATGTCTTTCATTGTAAAGCACATGTAGCCATTCGTGGTCATTAAGATGAAACCTACACATTACAAAACATAAATGTTACAATAGTTGTAATATTGAACATAACTTGTACAAAACAAATGCTTACCTTTGCAACATAGAACTCCATGCGAACTCAAATTGTGCACCCGTTTGGGAGTCATAAACAGCATCATGTAAACAAGCACTAACTTCATCTTTATCAGTCAACCCTCCCAACTTCTCTGGCACCTTCTTCATTATATGCCATAGACACCACCTATGTCTTGTATTTGGGAACACAATTTGAATGGCATTTTGCATTGCCCTATCTTGATCGGTAATAATTCCACTAGGACAACAACCATCCATACACTCAAGCCACTTTGTAAACAACCACACAAATGTGTCGGTGTCCTCATTTGAAATTAAGCCACAACCAAACAAGATGGATTGCCCATGGTGGTTTACTCCTACAAAAGGTGCAAATGGCATGTCGTACTTATTGGTGAGATAAGTTGTATCGAAAGTTATCACATCTCCAAAATCTCTGTAAGCATACCGACATCGCTTGTCCGCCCAAAATACATTGCGAAGGCGAGATTCTTCATCTACATCAAGGGCAAAGAAAAAACCGGGGCACTCCGCTTGCATTTTGTAAAAGAAACTTTGAATTGCAATGGCATCACCATTTCCTAAACGCAAGCGGCGAAACTTGTCAACGTAGTTCCTACAATCCTTTTCAATGAACGGTAAATTCTCATAACCGCCGGCTTCTACTACGGCAGAGGTGTAGGTTTTGTGAAGAGGAATTCCGGCAACCGCATTTATTGCAATTTTTCTCTTCGCGCTCATAGTCAATCTCCTATTGCAACGAAAAGCTCTAGTTTTGGTAGGACTCATAGGGTGGTTATGCTGTTCATGCACTTTCGAAATAACCCATGACCCGGCATAGTCATACATTACTTTGATCCGGGCTTTGCAACCCATTGCACTAGTAGCTGCAGGCATCAAACAATTTGTTGACTTTGAAACTCTATTTCCAGCACGACCACATTCAATTAACATTCCTGTTACGTTTCCTTCTTTGTCTTTCGTTGAGCTCCTAATCCTAATGGGAAAACCTATACGTTTGGCGTAATTCTTATAATGATCATAGGCTTCATCTTTTCCCGCAAACAACATCCCAACTTCTACATGGACGTCTGGTGTACCACCATCTACATTAGTGTTATCCGGGTATGAGAGAACACATATATAAAAATTGATTATTAAAAATATAAACGTCTGTGGGCAGGCAATAGCAAAACACATTTACTTTATTTCATCTGTGTGCACAAGCAATAGAATATCAACATTTACTACATCAAAATACAATACGAATACAACACTTTTACTTCAAAATCATGGAGTGCCATTAATGAATGTTAGAGTATACAAATACAATGGCATTCAGTTCTACATGCACTGAAAACACGAAATGCCTGTCCTCACAGACATTACGTTCCACGTACCTTCTTCATCATCAACCTCCAGAATCTGCTTTTCCTCTCCGTCGCCGACGTCTTTCGTACTGGGCTCGCCTTCTTGTGTCGCCGGAGGTTCAGACACGGAGCCGCCTTCGTCTACTTTAGCTCCCATAAAATCGTCCATGTCATAACTACTGATGAAGGCCATCTCCTCAAGAGTATAATCCATTCCTCAAGTCTAAGTATACTTCCTCCGTCGAGATGTGAAGAGAACAGGAGGAAGAAAGCTTCAGTGAACAGTTGTTTTGCTGCGTTTGTTTGCGTGCGAAAATAAGCAACGGGAAGGGGGAGTGGGAGGGAAAGAAAGAGAGGAGAGAAGGTGGGGGTAAATGGAATGGTATTTTTTGGGGGGTTTTTATATGATGTACAATATGTGTACATCTTGTGTACCCCAAGACAAATTGAATTAAAAAAGCCACAAATGTCGTTAGAAATAATTAACGGCTGTTTGCTCCCAAATGCACATGTTCTATTTCAAGATTCCATAAATCTAAACAAACCCCATTCAGCATTGTCTAGGAACGTAGTAATTCTCTTACAAACGTTTTAATTACATTTTTTGCTCTTATTTTTTTCCACTTATTTAGTTTAATAAAACTATGCTTTGTTTCGTTGTATGGTTGATGGTGTTATCTATTTAGTTTGTTTTTATGTATAAAAGCTTTTACGATTATATATTTTGTCCATTACCTTTCAATTAATCAAATAATTTGGATGGAATGTGTGCATTTATGAAGAAGCATCATTTATATATTTCTTTATTCACATTGAAAATAAAGAGTACTCTTTTTTCTTGATGATAATAAAGAGTACCCTTGAAATGATTTATATTTTTAGGTGCCGTTTGGTAACACCCCTTTTCGGCTTATCAGGCTTATTGTGCTGAATTGTGTAATAAGCAGAAAAAGTAAGGTTGGAGTTACTTTTATGGCTGTATTGGCTGAAGTTACTGTAGATGACCATTTTAGCTATTTTTACAAATAATTTTTTCTTTATTTTATTAATAAAATATATTTTAAAAATATTTTTTTCTTAAATCAGCAGAATCAGCCAATGCAGCCACTTCAGCCAGAACTTCAGAAATTTCAGCAGAATCAGTCAAACCAGCCGATTTTCCTTTTACCAAACGGGCTCTTAATGTGGTTAATCTCTTAAAGTTGTGCTTGAAATGCATGTCTAAACTGATAAAATATACTATATTATTAAAATATTTTATACTTAAATATTCTTGGCTTTAACTTTTAGAGGGATTGTATCTATTACAAAAAACACCTTGTATTAATTTATAGGATTAAAGATTTGTCTAGTAAGATGAAAAATGAACTGTTGTCGTTGAGTCTTTGTCTCTGGAAATTGAACTGCCCGAAGCTACTGAATTGTGAAGAGATTATGTTTTTTATTAAAACATGAGGAGCTTATGTTGAAATATGTTTGATTACTGCAACACAGCCCAAATTCATTTTAAATAATAATTGGCCAAGTTCGTTGACAAAAACTCAAAAAAAAAAAACAAATCTATTGAAATACAAAAAAGTATTCATATATCATAAAAAGTGAAACTCCAAAAAAAATCAAAAATCTAAATTTGTACTTAGTGAAGTAGTGTTTGATAAAATTTGTATTGATAAAATTAATATGCTAAACAAAATTGCCACAGAAAATTAAAAGAAGATTTAGAAGAAGCCACATGTACAGGTTACAACTCCTTTTTTTTGGCAAAAGATCATTTCACACTAATATATATATATATATATATATATATATATATATATATATATATATATATATATATTGAAGTGCCTTGCTGCTTCAGAGCAGAAGAAATGAAATCAGCTTCTTTCCATTACATATCATGACTCATGACGGTTTTACGAGATGGATAAAACCAAGAGGCTTATCACTTAAAATAAACGTTTGATGTTGATGAGGCACGACTAGAACTCAAAATAGCCTCCATTTTTGCCTTCTCTCTGGACTGGAACCTTTTGCGACATAAAATAAACACCTTAGCTTCTTACATGTTGGGAAGCAAGCTATGAGTCCCATTATAAATTGCACTTCAGATTTGGACCCTGAGAATAAGTTGAGCTTTAAAGTTTGAAGGGCATTGTGTCTGTAATGTAGATTGAGATGTCCTTCCAAAAGATCGGAAACACTCTCACTACAATCAGGGGAGTCTGTACAGGTTACAACTCCTATTACTCAAGACTCACCTTCCTTATATTTTCTTGTTGTACTCAATGTAGCTATTTTTCTATAAACTAATGTGGTAAATATGAACTCATCAACACTATTAATTAATTAGTTCAAATATCTTTTATTATACAAAAGCAAAATGAAATCTGCACAGTGTTCCCGCCCAAACACTGTGCAGAAACGGGTCGGGTCAGACTATCCATGGGTTCAGAAACGGGTCTGCAGGCAGCCCATTGCAATTATTCAATTCTGACTCATTTTCTGATGCTCCAGTTGTGGAGTAAATGACAGAACAAGGTAGAATCTTTGCAGGTGTTTCCAAAAGGTGTAGGTTTGACCGAATTATTGGTTGAAGTGGTTCAACATATTTGCCAAATATGTTCAGTATTTGCAAAAAGAAAAAAATATGTATCTGGACATATTTGCCAAATATGTCAGTCTTCCTATTGGTCAAGAGGGGTGGGCGCGGATCGCCATCTTGGATCGTGAAGCGAAGGGCTTGGATCGCATTAAAATAAGATATTCCCAACATATTTGCCAAATATGTCGGTCTTCCTATTGGTCAAAAATATGGGGCGCGGATCGCCATCTGGGATCGCCAGCTGAAGGGTGTGGATTGATTCGATCTATTTGAGCAGATTTACGAATCTATTGTAATAAATTAATATATTTCTCAACATATTTAGTGAATATGTCCGTGCTCCTATTGGTCAGAATAAGGTGGTTCGGATTGCCAATTACTCAACATGTTTGCCAAACCTGCTCTATAAAATCCACCACAAACCTCACCTCACAACCCCATCTCACGGTTCCAATCTGTCTTCTAACTTCTCCAAATTTTGGCCATCTCCTTCATCTTAACCCAAGTAAGTTCTTCTTTAATATTTTTAGTTTAATTTGATTTGTTACTTTATAAAAGTAGGAATGAAATTAATTAACGTTAAGTAATTTAACATTAAGTTATATCTTCTCCAAATTAGTTAACGTTATGTTACTTTAGGCCAACTCCTTCTCCAAATTTATTAATAATGTAATTAAGTTTTTCCAATTTAATGGTTAATTTAGGTAATAATTAAAGTTAGTAATTTAGGAATGAAATTATTCTATAATAGTGTTAATTTGTAATTGTAAATTAGGAACCTAAACAAAAAAGTGAAATAGGAAACTTGCGAAATTTTAGTTTATTTACCAAATATGAAAGATTAGTGTTACTTTACCAAATATGTATGTATAAATTTAGTAATATGCATGCTAACCTTTTTGGAAAATTTTGCCCACCTTTAGTTTAAAGTTTGTAGTAATTTTTCCTATTTTGGTGTAGAAATTAGTCTATAAGTTGTGATAATTAACGAAAAATTAATGTATAGTATTAGTCTATAGTTAACGAAATATGTTGTTTTTTAATTAGGTGTATTTATTTGTATTACAAATTGTATTATAAGTAGTGTTGTTTAATTACATATATAATTTGTATTATAAATAGTGTTGTTTAATTAAATTTGTAATTACGCACAAAGTATTACAAATAGGAGTGTTGATTTGGAATTAATTTAATAATATACTTTTAGGTTTTCATGGCAACACAAAGAGAGCACCCCCATCCCGGGCCCATAAAACGTTCTGTATTGGTAATGAAACCTGGAGAACATCGTGCCGATAATGTGTGGAAAACTGAAGAGTCGAGAGACCTAAAATTGAGGTGCATTACTTACCCCAAATCCGCCAAAGATGATGGCGAACGTGATCCTAGAGTCGTACAACTGCTGAGGGCATCAGGCTTTCAAGGAGCTGAACGAGTAGTACAAATCAAAATTGATCACGGTCTTATCACTGCATTGGTTGAGAGGTGGAGACTTGAAACACATTCTTTCCATTTACCTTTTGGCGAGGTCGGCATTACCTTGCAAGATGTACAGGTGCTGCTGGGGTTACCGATTGATGGTCTCCCACTTACTGGTCCGACGGCACATAGTAAGACTGAATGGGTCCAAATGTGTGATGATCATCTTGGTTTCAGACCATTTGGAAAAGATATACTTCCTCCGTTCTTTTTTAGTTGCAACGGTCAACATTTCACACTTGCCAATGCACATCTTTGACCTTAATTATATCTTAATCCCTATTAGTAAAAAATATTTAAAAATTAGATTTTGAAAATTTGTAATGAGATGAATTGAACAATATAATTTTTTAAAAATAATTTTCATAAAATAATAATATAAAATGTAGTCAAAGTAGAACATGTGAATAGTGTAAAATTCAACATGTTGCGATTAAAAAGAGACGGAGGATAGTAATATCATCCAACAGCATTAGAAATCTAGCCATTCAGCGCTTTTTGTTGTCACCGTGGAGCACTGACATTGAAGTTATTCAACATACTAAAACGTTGATTTGGCAGTTGCTCAGTGGGTTGTTGTTCCCTAGCACTTCCGGTAGAGCGTCACTTTACTTTCTTGAGTTGTTGCATGACAATGTAGAGAATTTGACTAAGTGGAGTTGGGGCTCAGCTGTGTTGGCATTTCTGTACCACAACTTATGTGAAGCGGCGAAGGCGGACACATCTTCGATTGGAGGATGTTTAATCCTTTTACAACTTTGGGCATGGGAGAGGTTGCCAATGGTTCGACCCCAACGGGTTCTTCCACTGCATGCAATATTTGATTTGCCCTATGGTGCTAGGTAAGCTTCATTGACATAATATATTACATTGTACTGTATTATTGTTTTTATGATTTGTCTTATAATTCGTTAAATTTAGGTGGGCTTGTGCACATAACTGGGCCGACTCTAGCAGATTCACTCTTCGCATTTATAGGGACCAATTTGACCGATTAAGCGAGTCGGAGGTAAAATTTAATAAAATACTTTTATATATATTTTTTACTAATATGGAACAATTTTTTTGCACAGTTTGAATGGACACCTTACCCGCTTACTAGTCTTCCAGCTTTTTGCACTCATGCATTTGATCTGTGGGCAACTAAAGCTCCACTTATTTATTGTTCATATTTTGAGGCATACTATCCTGGTAGATTTTGTCGTCAATTCGGTGCAGTCCAGGATATACCTAGGAGCGTGACTCATAACGACCGTCACCATGCTACTAGACCAGAGAACAATGCTGAGTTTATTACAGAATGGGAGCAACGATGGCAAACATTATATGTGTTTGACCTGACCAGATGTGGGGTTACATGATGATGATACATCTCATGATACACCCATGGAGCCGCCATCCACAGTTGGTAGTTCCTATCACGCACATGAAATTTCCCAACATCAGCAGTGGCCTAATTTTAGTTGGGATGACATATTTGGCAATGATCACCTCAGTGGAGCGACCGGCGGTGCAGGGACAAGCTCACAATATTAGTTTATAATATTTATATTACTGTAATATTATTAACATTAATATAATAATATCTTTGTGCAATGTAGTATTATAAGTTGAATCATATGAATGTTATTGTCATAATATTCATAATAATATCCCTCCCTCATTTAATAAAATTAGTTTAATAATATTTTTTTAATATGTGAGTAATAATATTTGTGCAACTCATCTACTCTAATTATTTCAACAATCCACAATTACTCTATTAATCTGAAATACAACATCCAACCAATCTACTTTATTTACCACAACTACTCTATTAATCTCAACTACCACATCCAACCCATCTACTTCATTTACCACAACTACTCTATCAATCTCAACTACCACACCCCACAACTACTCTATTTATCTCAAGTTCCAACTACCACATCCACCTCACCCAACTATTATACTATAAATATGGAGCTCCACCACACTCATTTTCACCACTCTCAAACAAACTTCTTTCTCTCTACGGAGCTCCACCACACTCATTTTCACCACTCTTAACGACCAATCTATCTGAAAGTTTTAACCATGCCCTAAAAGGATGTAGAACGCTTCCGATTACAGCACTTGTGAGAGCAACTTTCGATAAATTTGTTCAGCTTTTTGTAGAACGACGTAATGCTGGTATGATGTGGAATCAAAGTGGATATCAATTTCCGGAAAAAATCCGGAAGCAGATTATGGATGGATGGCAACAAAGGCGTCACACTGTTGTAATCCCGCACAATTATCACAGTGGAGTTTTCTCAATAGCCATAGAAAATGCAACTCCGGTTACGATAGATTTTTCAGGGCGCGACTGTGATTGTGGCTGCTGGAGGATGAACTGGATGCCATGCAGCCACGTGCATGCTGTGTGTCACTTCCTCGACCGCCCTGTCAATCAACTTATTCCAGAAGTCTATAAACTGACCTCTTACATTAATGCACATGCGGGTGATATTATGCCTTTACCAAATATGAATGAGTGGCCTGATATTGGGATCCATCTTTTACCGCCAAAATATTTATCACGAACTTCTCGAGTGGGGCGTCGTCAAGAAACGAGGTTTCAAAATGAGATGGATATGCGTCCAAGCAGAAGAAGAGGACAACAATGATTTCATGTATTTTTAATATTTCAGCGTTTTTAATAATTTCTTATGAAGGAATTGTACTTTTTAAGTTTTTAATAACAAGTTGTTTCTTATCATTTCAATAAATATTTCAATTCAGAATATATAAATTTTCATTTCAGTAGATTGTAGTGTATAATTTTCGTGAAATGTGGGAAGAAATAAATAAAGCATTGTTAACTAAATCTATTCAAACCTCTTTTTTTCGGAAATCGTTTAACATATTCACCAAATATGTTGCTTGATTTTTTTTAATCGAAAACTGTTGAACATATTCGCCAAATACGTTCACTGACTTCTTCTTATTTTTAAATAGAAATCCATTGAACATATTCACCAAATATGTTCTCTGACTTCGATCTTTTTTAATAAAAATTCAGATATATCTATTGAACATATTCACCAAATATGTTGAGTCTTTGGAATGGTCTGCAGACCAGAATCTACACCATTTGGAATGGTCTGCAAAGATCCTACCCTGTTTCGTCAATCACCCCCAGTTGTGTGGTTTAAGAAAGGAGGCTGCTTTGGTGAATAAAATATAAGCTTATTTGTACTTTTCTGCCTAGAGCCACAAAAACATTTAATGAGTTGTAATATGATAAAACTAATTTTCGTACCTCTCTCCTCCACTTCAAAATTAAGCTTTTCTGGTGTTTAAAAAATAGAAAGCAAATTGTACTTCAAAACTTAGTTGGCGAGAGAGAAATCCACATGCATTAAATGTTTCGTACTATCTTTGCAAATACAATTCACATGCAATCCTTGAGCCACACAAACATTTAATGCATAGTACCATGTTTGCAAAACTACATTAAATATATGTACTACAAAATCTTAAAGTAAAGATTGAGTGAAATTTAACCACCAGTTAATACCCAGCTGCTCCATATATGAAGGAATAAGAGTCATTGTTGATTGCAATATAAATACAATTGAATTCTAAAGGCATCACACACCAAGCTATTGCATTGGGATAGAGGGTTGAAGGGGCCATAAAGAGCTACCTTTGGATTCTGAAGCTGGGGAAAACTAAAAAACTCCATTAGAGGTATATCATGTCCATGTTGCAAGTCTTTTAAAAAATGCAGATTCTATGTCTGTATTGTTTTCATCTAAGGGTGAGTGAGGCTAACATTCATTAAAAATGACCGATGAAGTATATATGCTTGCAATGAGTAATGACTTGCAACCAACATATTGGTAAGACATAATCCATGTAATTATTTCTTAACATTTATATACTTTTGTATGTTTTCTTGCAGTTTGATAAACACAAACATTATTGACAGGATTGTGGGAAATGGGAATGCATGTTTCTCACACATAGAATCAATAATTGTACAACAAAAGATAAATCTTACATTTAAAATTAAGACTGTTTTAGTAATTAGTTTTATATACCATTGGGTTTCTATCTAATGCATTTTGAGTTTTATAGAACAAGAACCATACTAGAAGGGCCAGACACTAAAACTTAAAAAATCAGGGAAGATAGGGCATGTTTAGAACATTTGTTTATGTCCAGTCAATCCCTTTCCCATATCTTATGAACAATCAATAATTTATTTTAGAAACAATCTTCCTTTAATGATAATGACTTCAAATGCAAAAAGCAAGATTCAAAATTTAGGGGATGCGGATCATACCTGAGAATTTGACTATGCAATAATGAAACCCTGCAATCCCTTATCTTAACTATTTAATAATTACATTTTGGTTATGAATAATACATATTTGGCCACCCTCTTCAGGTCCAAGATCCTACGAATGTATACCCATCATATGTCGGTAAGGTCGAAACACGCCCAGATACTCTGGCCGTTTACAACTCGCACACCTGCTCCCCTTCGAAGGATCTGATTCATCCACCAAGAAGCTGTGAGTTTTGATTTCTATCACGAGAAACAGGAATGATGTATATGTATGCATCACGGGGAAATCAATGACAACAAACTAATTAGTGACTTTTGATTTCTAGCTATGACCAGATTTTATTACAGTTCTATTTTTTTTTTTTTTAATACTACATATTGTGTATGTACTCTTGCAGGCTTGATAGTTAAAAAAAATACAAAGTAAGAGACATATGCAGCACAACAAACTTGCAGGCTTGCATATTTAAATGTATTCAAACCATTTAAATAAAATACACAATATACTATACGATAGTATAATGTTTGGGTACTACCGAAATGTATATAGTAGTATTCAAACCAGTAATTTTTCATAAATATGCAGAGCAGGTCTAAGATAGTAGTGTATATACGACCTATTGCTCAGTTAGGTATTAAGATAGTAGTATCCAAAACAGAGGGATTAATTTTTGAATTGCTGAAGGCAATTTTTTGTGCAGGTTTTTATTATAAAAAAAACCAAGTAAAAGCTATGAACCCAAAACAGAGGGATTAATTGAAACTAAAGTTTATATATTAATTCTTTATGTGTAATAAGTATATATGTTTATATCATAAAAATGAGTTCAATAAAATGAAGCTAACACAATTCTTAAATATTTCCACTTTATCAGTTAGTGGATGAAAACAAAAACATATCTAACTATTAAAAGACCTCTCAAACGTTTTTTAGTTTTGTGGAGGAAACAAGAAAAAAATGAAACCAGAGCCTAAGAGCAAGTCTGCACTACACTTTTTATGTACACTTATTTGACATCACAGTAAAGTAGAGCAGACACCCTACAATTTTACATATCTGTGTGCCAGGAAAAAATAGATTACTGTATTTTTTCTTACATATGCAGATTTAGTCAAATATTTTGTAAATTGAATAAACTACATAAATAAAATTATATACAAATGTGTACAGAAAGACTAATAAAACATGTCAATACTACGAAAAACAAGACGACAAAAGAGATGTATGGTCTGATGAGTACATTTGAATATCCCTCAGCTTTCATAGCCCTAACAGGAGTAGTACTGTAAAGTCATATGGATCAAAAAATCTTCAGAAATTTAAAAATCGTATACAACTGCTTGCATACAAAAATGTTTTGAAAAGAATAAATAGTGTAAGAGCAAAATGAAAAAGGAGATGTAAGGTCTGAGATCCTTTGTCTATCACTCAGCCATGCCCGCACCAGTTGTTGAGATCGGACAACATAAAATCACTCAAAATAAATAAAAAAATGATCAATCCAATAAATCTCTTCAATGAAATCATATATAAGTGAATGTACACAGAAAAGTGGTAAAACACACATATAGTGTAAGATATACCAAAATGAAGAAACGAGACATACGTCCTAAAATGTGACTCGGACTTCGCCATAGCTCTTCTCCGAACCCTATCGGACAATTATCCGGTGAGGAGTGATTGACTATGGCAGGTGTGAGCATAGTCGCAGGGGATACGATTCGCAATGATACGGCTCGCCGCTGTTCCGATCTTCATCACACCGGACTGTAACGGCAAACGATACGGCTCACAAGCTCTCTGCTAGCTCTCTCTCTCTCTATGCTAACAAAAGGTGAAACCCTAATGAACGACAATTATTTTCCTTGGAGTATTATGTTCGAAGATGTTGGGCCAGACGGATCATTTGGACGCACAAGGAAGAATATTACAGAAGGCCCACACCCCTATTTAGTCCTTTATTCCTTGGCTTTGTTCGTATGTCTATTTCAAATTGTGAATATTTGTAGTATATATTATATTAATATTTGTAATTTTTTGTATTTTAATTAGTAAATCTAAATTTAGATAACTAAAATGTTAGATAACTAAAATTATTATAATATTACCACTATTCAGCTTCGGTATCAATATATTCTAATTTTAAAATAACATTTACTATGATGTAAATTTCAACTAATGTCATTAATTTATCATTTTTCTGAATGTCGGTCATATTGAATAGAAAATTGGGATCCAAATCAAATCAAATAAGTACGACCCAATGACACGAATAAAATATATTGTTTTGTGACTTTTGTTAGCAAAACATCAAATCAAGAGGCAGGCCCGTCAAACATGTTAACTGCTCAAACAAGCAGTAACTATAATTACCTTATTCATATTTTTGTTTATGATGATAATAATATAATTATATTATAACAATAACTGTTGTTATATACAAAATATTTCATTATAATTTGATGCCATTAATATTATTAAATGTGGTTGTTGTTGTATTTCCATTCGTTACCTTTCCAAAAGAGAGAGCATCATGTGCAAAATTTGTATTTCAATCTTGGGGAGTTCTCGACAAGGCCAATTTTTGTCACATGTTGGGTTGTTATTAAAAAAGTCAATTTTTACGCATGATCAACTTTATGTTGCAATATCAAGAGTAATAAATCGTAAAAGTTTGATAATATGGATTTTCCCTAAAGATGCCGAGCAAATCGACTATACTACCAATGTTGTTTACACGGAAGTGTTTCGAAATGTGTAAATTGCAGAAATCTTATTGTAATACTTTGTATTTCTTTATGTCTTTATTTTTACTTATTCCAAATCTTACGTACTACTAATGCTTGAGTCTTAACTATCGGTTCCTTAATTAAAATTTATTATTTATATTAAGTCTCATCTATTTCCATACATTTAAACATCAATTCATAATATTAACAAATATGAAAATATATTTATTACATTATTTATGTCCTGCGCATCGCGCGGGTGAGAATCTAGTCAACGTCAATGGAAGATGTTTATTATATTTCGTGACTAACAATTACATACACCATAATCGTGAATAGTTTATTAGAATATGAAGTTATTTTGATTGGTGACACATACATGTTTCAAGTTATGATAAACTTGAGATTTTAATGTGAAATGTTGTTGTTCTAGTATAACTATTAAGCATTATTAATGTTCAAATTGTATTGTTGGGCATTGACTCTCGCGCATTGCGCGTGAAAACGCTAGTATATATGATATGTGCTAATACTTTCCGAAATAAGGTCTCCAAGGTGGTTGATTACTGATACTCCGTAATTGATATTACCAAATATACAGGCAAATATATAACCAATTAAACCAAATACTTCGTACTATGGAGTACTCTTACTAATGATATACGGAGTACATGGTTGTGAGCATCTCCATTCATGATCTCTAATAATCATTTTTT